CACTAGAAGTCCTAATCCACAACATAAACAGTCTTCCCAGTATCCTGGAAAACCTACAACCAGGAAAAGATAACGTAGATGAATGGGATCTTCTAAGATTCAAATCCCTATGCACATCCAAAAACTTCTCCAACAGGGTAAAAAGGGAGGCCACTGACTGGGAAAAAGTATTCGGGAAGGACATGGCTCTTAAAAAGAAAATGAACAAATAATAGTAGCATATTACTATTAAGTGTAAAAGTATTTTATAATAGCTATGATAAAGAATAGTTTACATAGGGTTTTCGGAGGCCTGCTATTTCAGAAGTGGATGGCCAATCCTTCTTCCTAGTCTGCCTTAATCTGAAAGTTCAGATTTAGAGAAGTATCAGACAGACTAGCATTTTACAGAAAAGTGAAAGATATATCCCTTATTGTGGAGTTAACCATTAGTGTCAGTGCTGTCTCTTCCTTTGGCACATGTGTCTTTACCCACTTATTTCCCTGCTCCACCATCCACCAGGATACCCATCCACTTCTACCGACTCCCTTCAACATCTATCTCCCATTGTCCAGCCCTTGATCTGATAGCTTGTCTCTGAAGCTTCCTTGGCTTCTGTGATTCCAAACAGGTTGGCTCCTGATAGTTTCTTATGCTGCTCCATCTAACATACTTTGGACATGTTGTAAGGAGGGACCGGTCCTTGGAAAGGGACATCATTCTTGGGAGGGTGGAGGGACAGCACAGTAGGGGAAGGCCCTCTATGAGGTGGATTGATTCAGTGACTGGGGTAATTGGGATGGGTTCAGAGACAGTGTGACTGGCACAGGATAGAGCAGAGTTTAGGGCTGTTGTACATAGGGTTGCTATGAATCACAAATGACTTGACGGCACATAACAACAACAACATGGTAAAGAATTATTGATGTAGTAACTCGGGCAGTGAGGGTAGTTGTGTCAGAGTCCGTGAGACTGGCTCAGGACCAGGCAGGCTTCAGAAGTGGTGTACATAGGGTCGCTATGAGTCCAGGCAACTCAACGACATGTAACAACAATACAACAAATATTAAATGTAAAATTATTTTTGAATACTTACGGTAGTCTAAAATACATTCTTTCATTGTGAGGCTAGTTGAAGTACCAGTTGAATTTATTGACCTTACTGTCCTATGTCCTATAAATACAGTCTTTCTTTTGGGGTTGACAAGATCCATGTTGTTTACAGAATTTTAGCTCAGGATGTGTAAGGGGGTAGAGGAGTTTATGTAGCATGGTCATGTGGGTGTGCATGTGTGTATATGAGTGTGTCCTTGTGTGTACATGTACATGCGTGTGCATGTGTGTTTGTATGTGTGTGCACATGTGCCTTGTGGATGTGATGTACACTGGGAATTCTGGTTTAAAAAAGCTGTGACCTACAAGCATTAATTAAAACACATTGCCACAAATGATGGCAAATGTGTTTCTAAGCATGATCGTCAATTTAAAAAGTGTGTGGCAATGTGTTAAAACCCCTGATAACTTGTATATGCTCAGCGGCTCTGTTCGCTCTAAGACATTTTACTCTGTTCAACAGGGGAGCTATGGGTCAGAATCTACTCCATAGAAGTGAGGTTGTTTGGTGGTTTATGTTTTGTTTTGGTTTAGGTATTTGTTTTTATTTTTTGTGGGTTTTTTGTTCATTTATGCATTGCGGTCCATTGTGGCATTGACTGGAATTGCCTTATTCGCGCACTTACCTAGCTCTGATCTTCACAGTGTGTACATTTGTCCTTAGGTTATAAAAGCCACTGAAGCAGTCGATGAGCTGCAAGCTAAGTTACCAGGAAGCTCCGCAGAGAAAGCCTCGAAAGCGGAGCTGGAAGGGCTCCTTGAGGACCACGACACGTTGGTGCTGGAGCTGGAGCAGCAGCAGGCGGCCCTCGGGGTACTGAGGCAGCAGGCACTGAGCATGCTCCAGGACGGGGCTGGTCCCGCGGCAGCTGGAGGAGAGCCCCCTGTCATGCAGGAGATCACGGCTGTGCAAGACCGCTGCCTAAAGTAATCACACCCTGCCCTCTGTCACCAGGGTCAAACGTGCTCCCAGGGCGTGGGGACAGTCTATAACATCACACTCACACTGGGGATCTGTGGCCATCACCTCTGCTTTCCCTTTTCTTAGTTCTGAACTCATTTCTTTAATAAGTACATACTTCTAAGTGAATAGACTGGTAAGCTGAACCAGAAGTCTTTCTTTCTATTTTAAGTAGCATTTCTATGAGTTGAAATGAACTCAGTGCATCAAACAGCAAGTAGGTATGCCACATTCACCTCCTGAGAATATAAAAGACATCAGAGCAATCTTAGGGCATTTACTTAAACTTCTATAATAAATTCAGGGAGCTCTAGTGGCCTACTCTGTAAGGAGTTGTTCTGTGAGCCCCAAGGTAGCAACTCTCTGATGGTTCAAATCCTTAAAAGAGAGAAAAGGCACCTCTCTCTTTGTGTGGTTTACAGCCTTCATTACCCAATGGAGGATCATCTATGAGTCAGTTCTGACTTAGTGGCAATGCAATATTCAGTTCACATAGTTGAAAACACAGAGGTATAACTTGATATCGTTACATTGTTAATTGTAACATTTAAAAGCTAGTTTCTTCCTTGAAACAGAATGGTCATGGATATTCAAATTTTACATTAAATTTAAACCTCTAGTTATGTTGCAACATTTGATTAGGTTCCCAAACAAAAAGCAGATAATCCATCAATTTAAGGTTGCGGTTCAGTCAAAAATTCAGTTGGAATTTGACGGCATGGAGGAAAGTACCCCTTCAGTTTTTCAGAGATAAATGATTCACGAATATAAATTATGATGTATATTCTTTCGTTAACTGGAACTTTACTTAAGAGTTACTGAAAATCATTTGTCCCTTTTAGTGAGCTGCATTTACTTGCAAGGTTCCTGGGTGGTGGTACAATCATTTTGCAATGAACAACTAGCCTAAATGCAGACAGTTTGAACACAGAGTCTATTCTTATAATGACTGCAACCAAGAACACGCTTTAGACACATTCTGCTCTTTAGCACATGACATTACAATGAGTTACAATCAGTTTGACAGTAACAGATATTTTGGTTTTACTTACCTGCAAAACAGGACAATAGATTTGACATTTAAAAACTTCTTTTTTGGGTAAGATGATGCCATGTGCTAAATGCGTTTCTTGGATTTCAAACTCCTGCTTTCTCCCGTGACTTTTCCCAAAGCATGCAGGAGAAAGTGAAGAGTAATGGGAAACTGGTCAAACAGGAGCTGAAGGAGCGGCAGATGGTGGAGACACAGATCAATGCCGTGAAATCATGGGTCCAGGAGACGAAGGAATATCTGGGAAATCCAACGACTGAGATAGATTCTCAGCTGGAAGAACTTCAGGTGCAAATTGTCTTCCTTCATTATACCCTTCACCCCAAAGTCACCCTGATTTTAGTTAAATACTGATTTATCATTCATGAAAATATTGAACATGAACTTTTCAGAAGTGGTTTGTGTAAAATGTGTTTTCTTCTGCTTTGGTGACTCAGTGGTAAGGAATTGTGCTGTTAATCCAAAGGCACTCGTTTCGAACCTACCACTTGCTCTGTGGAAGAAAGATGGGCAGTCTCCTCTCATGTAATTAACTGCTTCTGAAAACCAGCTAGAGGGTCAGCTAAGAGTTGGTTCTGACGCTGTGTATATCACAATAACGATAATATGCATAGAAGGTACATGATTCCTATATGGACTCTCACAAAAAACTCAAGGCTTTCCTCTAACTCCACACTTAGTATTGACTGACTTTGTGCTTATAAAAATCAGTTGCCCCATCAGGCTCCCAGAAATTTCTTGTGATGACCTCTTTTATTCCCCCTTTAGGTTCTCTTGACGGAAGTGACGAATCACCGGCAGGACATTGAGAAGACGGCCGAAGAGCAGAAGAATAAATACCTGGGTTTCCACACTATCCTCCCTTCTGAGCTCTCTCTCCAGCTGGCTGAAGTCGCTTTAGACCTGGGCACGATTCATGACCAGGTACGCCAGCGATCCACAGAGAGCATGTCCACTCATTAGCTGGGAAGGTGCTGTTGTCTGAGAGTTCTTAATTATCACCATTATGTCTCCCTGCAACCAGTACAAACAAAACAAAAACCGGATCAATAGTATTAAACGATATTGACAGTCTTATACAAGGGTGCATTATGTAGCCAAGAAATAAATCAGGTAGTTGTGTATATAAAGAACACCATGTTAAGAATCATTGATCTGCTTTGCCTAACACTTTAAAAAATGGCTTAAGGTAACAAACAAATGTGATACTTTTTTAAAATATTTGTCCAGTAAATGTTTATTGATTGCCAATGGGGTGTGGGGCATACTTTAAAGTGTTATGTCAGATTGCATAAATTAATGAAGTGAAGATTTTTAAAAAGAAGGAAATAGAACTTAAAATAACATCAGTACGACAAATATTCTCACCACTAGGTCAATTGGCAGCACCACGATAGATGGAGAAATGATTGAGGTTGTTAATAATTACAGTTTGTTCAGCTCCACAATCAACACTCTTAACAGCAATGAAAAGCAATGATGTCAGTCTAGAGACTAAGATACACCTAATCTAGGCCATGTTTTTGGTAATTACTATCTATGCATCAGAGAGCTGGACAATGACTTAAGGATAACAGAAGGAGAATCCATGCTTTCAAATTATGGTGCTGGAGAAGAGTCTTGAACATACCATGGACCACCGGAAAAAAAAAAAAAGACCAAAACCAAACACAAACACACACACACACACACACCACCACCACCAAACAAACAAATAGGTCTGTCTTGGAGAGAATTAAACCAAGTTTCTCCTTGGAGGCTAGGATTTTGAAGCTCTGTCTCATGTACTTTGGGCTCATGGCCAGGAGAGACCAGTCCTTGGACATCATGCTTGGAAAGGTGGAAGGATGGTAGAGAAGAGGGATGGTAATAGCCCAAATGCCCAACCACAATGGAATGGATTGAGAAATTATGGTATATTCTCACAATGGAATACTATGCAGCACAAAGGAGCAATGATTTTGTAAATTATTACCTAACTTGGGAGGGACTGGAGAACATTGTGCTAAGTGAACTACCTCAGTCTCATAAAGACAAATTGCATATAAGGCCATCATTGTAGAATGAGTATGAGGATCCAAAGAGGGGGACTTAATCATTGGGTTACACAATGTGATGGGTGGAGGGAGGGATGAGTAAAGGACAGAGGAAAGATCCAGTGTGAAAAACAATGTATACAAACTTTATGAACTCTGTAAGTAAACCAGTATAAAATTTTTAAAAACAATTAAAAAATGTCAACATCATATGTCCCTATATGACCCTTTCTTAAAGGGATATATGATTAGATATTATTGTTATGACAAGAGTCCAGAAGAAGGTAGCATAGTGGAGTGTGGACTTGGGGAAGGGATTGAATAACAATGAAACAATTTTTTCTTTTACTTTTCAAAGAGAAACACTAATTGTGGTGGAAGGGTGGGCAGGGAGAAAAATGTAACAATGAATGCATGAAAATCCGAAGTCTCTCTAAACTTTCATTAACATAAATTAAAAAGAAATCCATTTAAAAGAAAAAATATGACATTTTGAAAATGTACACTATTACTTTTGTGGTGTTCTTGCCCACAAAGTACAACTGAAAAGAGAAAAGGGGAAAAAAACCACCAAAACCCAGCATTGATTTTTAAAGGCTTAAAATGACCTTTGTCATCTTCCTTTGAGGGTTTGAATCTTACTTTCTTTTAACCAAGGTTGGTTGGCTGTTCTTGTGATTATTTAGATCCAGGACAAAGTGAAAGAAGTTGAGCAGAGCAAGGCCATGGGCCAGGACTTTGGTCGGCAGATCCAGATATTGGCGAAAAACCTCACAGCTATTCTAACGAAGCTGAATGCCAAGACCAATGATTTAGTTCAAGCAAAAACTGAACAGAAGGTAAGAAAAGGGAAGCAGGAATATAAAGGCACCCTCTTGGCCAAGTGTGTTACCTGTTGGTCTGCTTACACAAAGGTCACCAGTTTGAACCTACCAGGCACTCCTTGTGAGAATGAGAAGTGTCCTTCCTTGCAAACTCAGCGGAGGGAAGCCATGAGCTAGAATGACTTGATGGCAGGGAGATTACTGAATAAATGTTTTTGGTTTTAAGTCAGATTTGTTTTGTAGATACAGAGTTTTTCTTGTTAGCATGCATCATAAAAACCATGTAGTAAAAGCAAGCAGAAAGGATATTTTACGAATATATTTCCATATATATAATTTCTACTCTGCTGCTGCTGTTAGAGGCCATCACGTCTACTTTGGACATGTCACCAGGAAGGACTAGTCCTTGGCAAAAGACATCAAGCTTGGAAGGAGTGAGGGTCAGCACAGAAGAGGAAGACCCTGGGGGAGGTAGATTGACACAGTGACTGTGATAATGAGGTCAGGTGTGCCAGGGTTGGTGAGGTTGGCTCAGGATAGGGCAAAGTTCAGAGCACTTGTTCATAGGGTCACTGTGAGTCATAGTTAACTGTCTCAATGGCATATAACAACAACAACAACAGCAATAACACATCTACTACAACTCATAATGACTCTATAAACAACTTGTCTGAACTTGGATGCATTCTATACTATATTAGAGCATCTCTAATACTCCATGGTCTATTGTTGCCGTCACTGTGTCAGTCCATCTTATTTGACCCTCTTTCTTTGACCTTGTGTCTTTCCTAGCAATGTCTTTTACCAGACAACTTGCCCAAAGTATGTGAGACAGCTTCCCCACCCTTGTCTCTATGGAGCACTCTTTTGGCAGTCCGTGGGATATCCAGGACTCTTTTCCAACATTACAGCTCAAAAGCATTGACTCCTCTTCTGTCATGTTGACTCACTGTCCAACTTTCAGGTGCAAAGCAAGCAACTGAAAATGCCCTGGCTTCAGTCATGTGCACCTAAGTCTTTAAACTGACATCCTTGTGCTCCAGTATTTTGGAAATGTCTCTCACAGTAGATTGTCTAAAGGTAGCACGCCTTTCAATTTCTTGACTGCTGTTTCACTCACATCATCTAATTTACCCTTACAACTGAACTGTATTAAGAAGTTTACTCCAATGTATACTTAGAAGGGAATACAGTTCAGTGACTCAATGATAACATAGGAATGCTGCTGTTGTGCCCCACTGACTCAATTCTGACTCATAGTTACTTGATAGAACCAAGCAGAATGGCTCCCTAATGTTTCTGAGGGTTTAAGTCTTTGTGAAAGCAAACTGCCACATCTTTCTCCCAAGAAGCTGCTGGGAGATTCAAATCATTGGCCTGTGTGTTAGGAGCCAAGTGCTAAATGACTGTGCTACCAGAGCTGCTGGTTTAGGAAAACAAGTGTGCCAATTTCCAGGAGAATTGTGTTCTCAGCAGTCAATCTGTGCTCTGTTGATGAGTTAAGTGACTCTAATCCTCTCTGGGTGGGGCAGAAAGGAAATGTGCGCCTCTTAGTCACCCACATAGGAAATAAACCAAGATCACCCCACCGCCTGGCCCACCTCTCCAAACTGACAAACAGAAGTAACCAGCACTGGGGGAAATTAGTCTTTATACTCTGCATCCTTCTAATCTGGGGAAACCAGAAGATATTAATTTTGTGGAGTAAAATGTTCTTGCATGTTGACACCCATTTAGGTGCTCGGAGAGGACTTAGATGACTGTAATGTGAAGCTGATGGAACTGGATGCAGCCATACAGAAATTCTCTGAAGAGCATGGCCAACTGGGCAAGCCACTGGTCAAGAAGATAGGAAAACTGACGGAACTCCACCATCAGACCGTCAGGCAGGCTGAGAGCAGGCTGTGCAAACTCGGTCAGGTAGGACTCTGCGGTCCTCTAAGGAAGAAGCTTTCTGCTGTGTGGTTTTTTAAAAATAGGAAATGTAATATTGGCAGTGATGAAAATAATTTCATTCTATACTTTATTTCATACTACATATTTTTACCTTTTTTTTTTCTTTTCTTTTAATGTGTGTACCGTTAAATCAGATCTGACTGCTAGAGGAGGAGATTGTCCCTCCTTCTTCAGCAGAGTATCTGGTGGATTCGAACCTCACATCTCTGGGATTGCAGTGCAGCTTCTTGCCCCTAGGCCACCAGAGCTTGCCACTACATAGATTCTTAAGATTGATGATTAAACTTGTATTTATTTTCACTAAACTAGGTTATAAATTCAAAGACAGTGATGCGAAAGAATTTTGGGCTGGATGTTTTATAACCTGTAGAAATGCTCTGTGAAATGAATATCGACCCATGAATGTGCTTTGTATGTTTTGTTACAGTCCATTTGGGGTGAGTTTGAGTATCCTAGAGTAAAAGCTATATATTAGCATGTGATTTTACAGTAAATGCAGGCTGACCTTCCACATAACTGTTGTGTAAAGAATGGACTTTGCAGAGCTGAAGACCAGTGAATTACAACACTAAAAAGTAGCATGTCCAAACCATTCCCTGCTGCACCCTCACCTAAGAAGTGTTGTTGGGATCCCAGAGGTACACGGTTCAAATCCACCAGATGCTCTGCTGGAGAAGGAGGGGCAATCTCCTCCTGTACCAGTCAGATCTGATTTGATGGTATACACACAAAAATTTATAAAATAAAACAAAATAAAATAATAAAATAAAATAAATAAAGTGTTGTTGGGATAGAAAGAGAATGTAAAGAGGAGGAATAAGAGATGAGATCAAGAAGTAAAGGGGAAATATTATTCAAGTTTATGAAGAAATTGGTATTTATCTTCAAGTTACTGATAAGTCTTTATCAAATTCTCAACAAGGAAAGTATTTCCCATGATACCTTCGAGTATCATAGAACCAGGCATACCTTGGAGATATTTCGAATTCAGTTCCAGACCAGAACAAAAAAGCGAATATTGCAATAAAGTGAACCACATGAAGTATATTTTGCTTCCTGGAAAGCCTGGTGGCCTAATTTGTAGGGAGTTGCACTGCTAAGCCATTGGTGCTGCCTCTTTGACAGTTCAAACCCCCCAGCTGCTCTGAGGAAGAGAGATGGGCAGTCTTCTCCCTTGGGCTTTATAGCCTTCAAAGCCCAGTAGAGCGTCATCTTTGAGTTCATTCCAACTCACTGGCAAAGTGCTTGAGTGATTTGAGTGCATGTAAAAATTCATTTACACTAAACTGTAGTCTATTAAGTGTACAATAAAATGAATAGAAAATTTTGGGATATTGTGAGAGTCACCAGAATGTGGTGCAGAAAGATGAAGTAAACACATGCAATTGGGGAAAATGGGGATTTTTTTTTTACAAAATTTCCATTTATAGCAACCACAATATCTGCAAAGCATAATAAAGTTCAATAGGAGGAGGTGTACATGTGTTATGAAAATTAACTCCTAGAACTCTTAAATCCAAAAAGTCAGATAGAACACTGATTCTTAGTTCAGAAAGCAGAGGTCATAATTGTTACCGAATTGCTAATGATTTTTCAGGCAGCATCCCATTTAGAAGAATACAATGAAATGCTTGAACCCATTCTGAAGTGGATTGAGAAAGCTAAATGCTTAGTACATGGAAATATTGCATGGAATTCTGCAAACCAGCTTCGGGAACAATACATCTCACATCAGGTAACTTTGAGTGTTCATTTTTTTTTTAATGTAAGAAAGTATATTTTTATTTTTTTATATTGTGCATGCAAAATTTGTATATATTCTTTCATTCATAACCCTTGTGTTTCACACATTCCTTCATTCACGTTGTTTTAATACCATCATTTCCACTTATTGTGTTTTATAAAGTTCATCACTGTTAAACTATGTCCACTATTACCTCGTCTTTTCATATTCCCAGTGGATCTTTCCTGAATCCTTCAACTCCTTCCCTCTACACACTAAACTCCTTGACCCACTGATCCCCTCCTCCTCACCTTCAGCCCCCCTGCCCTCTGCCCCTACCCCTTTGAACTTTTATATGCCTTTTACTATTATGCTCCTATATTTTTAAACAGTAGTTAAGAGAGCTATTTAGTAATTGGCTAGACTGACAAAAACATCATCCTTGCACAGGGATTATGCTAATCTCCTCTGTATCGTTCCAAACAATTTTAGTATATGTGCTATTGCAGAGAACACATGACAAAAACATCAGAGGATGGTGATGTCACAGGAGTGTGGTGTCAGATGGAAGTAAGGCCAAGGCACCCCTACTTAACACACTGCTCCAGTGGTTAGACAGAAGTTTCTACTCACAAAACTATGGGTCATAAATATGTTCCATCTTCTCTAGCCATTCTTTCCTGAAACCAAAAATAATCAGCCCCATAGGGGCTATTTTTTTTTTTAAATCTTGTTTGAAGTACTTGTTTGCAGAAATGTAACAGGAGAAAAACTTCCCCAAAACGAGATTTAAAAGAATATGGAAAGGGAGGCTGTTGGTGTGCTGCTTTACCTGTGAGCTGTTACTTCTAAGACAGTGGCTCAAATTCACGAGTTGCTTCATGGGAGAAAGATGGACAGTCTCCTTTAATGAAGATTTACAGTCCTAGAAGCCCGTGGAGGGTCAGTAAGGGTGAGAACCAACCCTACAGTTTCTGATTCAGATTGGTGGGAAATTCAGATTCTGCCGTTGTAAAAAAGCGCAGGGGCTACATGGAGAACATCATCTGTGACCTTTACCAGCTTCGTGGGGTGGAGAGGGTAGGGAGAGAATTGTCCCTGCCCATAACATCAATAACATAAAACCAATTCTCGTGCATTCAGACCTGTCCTCCATGCTCCTCTGCCTCTTTCTACTCATCTCAACACCAATATTACTGCTTAATTGGTTCTAAAATCCAGTATGATATCTCACAGATCACACAGAACCATATGGAGAAGTCAAAAGGTTATAATTTGGATTAATAACAGGATACAGACAAGACAGCTCCCAAAATGCGTACACAGGCACCTCAGCCTTGAGACTCATACCTTTCTAAGTTTTTCCAAGTGCTCAGTCCTGCCAATATTGGCTTCCCCAAGCTCAACTGTCCAACAAAGTTCTCAGTCCTGCCAATACTGGCTTCCCCACTCCCAACTGTCCAACAAAGTTCTCAGTCCTTCCAATACTGGCTTCCCCACTCCCAACTGTCTAACAAAATTCTCAGTCCTGCCAATACTGGCTTCCCTCCCACCCTCAAAGTCCCATCTCACATGAATTCTCCAGTTCAGCCATAGCTGCTGCCATCCCAAAACATCGCCTACGTTTCACCACGTTGGGGGAAGTCTCTCTTCTCTGGCTGCGGACAGAATCTCTTCAGGTGGGCTAAGATTTCTGTCTCTGCAGCTAGAGAGCTTCAATTTATTGGCAAGACTAGCCCTTCTCCTTGTAGACAGGCCAACATGCCCCATTTGCATAGTCCTGCTCATCTTCATGTTGTTGTTGATTGCCTTTGAGTCAAGCACGACTCATAGTGACCCTGAACAAAAGGCCTGAAGCCCCTCAACAACTATAGACATTTATCAATGTTAATAGTTTCCCGAGAGGCATGTTGTTTAGGAAGTGGATGCCACTCCTCATCTGCATAGCAACATCAAATAGGGGCGAGAGAAGATATATTGAAAAATAAATTGCCATTTATAATTGATGCTTGGAAAAATAATCAACAAAAAGCCACTTCTCTGAATTCCATTTTCTGATATTCAAGATGAGAGTATAAATAATACTTACATTGCACTAATACAGAGTGGTGCTGCTAATGGAAAGGTACATAGTTTGAATCCCCCAACTACTCTCCTGGAGAAAGATGGACAATCTCCTCCTGGGTGATTTACTATCTCTAGCAAGCAATTGAAGAGTCAGTTATGAATTAAGTCTGACTCAAAAGTACACAACAACAGTATAATGAGATGGCTTGACACTGTGACTACACCCACGGGTTTAGACACGGGGGATTGTGAGGATGGTGCAGGATCATGCAAGGTTTTGATCTGTTGTGGGCAAGGTCACTATGAGTTACTTCAACAATTACTTCAACAACAACAACAGAACCATGCCAGTTATAATGAACATCAAACGATTTGACATGTATATCCATCTAGCGTGTGACCTGGCTCATGTGAATGCATGAATAAGCATTCTGGTACTCTCTTCACAACGTTCGGCCAGGTCACACACGGCCCTGAACAGGAACGGGGTCAGCTGGGGACAAGCAATGAGGGTGACATCCTAATGTGGCTGCGTTACTACATTTCCTGTGGGACTACTTGACAAAAATGTTCCCTTCCCTCCCTCACTATTGTCCAGGAAATAATTTCATCCTTATATCATTAAGACCATATTTAGACACAGAACCCTAGCAATCTTGTTGTTGTCTTCCTGGAGAATATTGTTATTGTTCTTGTTATGTGCTGTTGAGTCACTTGAAACTCATAGCGACCCTATGTACAAAAGCCCTAAACCCTGTTCTATCCTGTGCAACCTCACTGTCTCTGACATACCTACTCCCATTATTCCAATCATTGAATCAATCCATCTCATCGAGGGTCTTCCTATCCTGTGCTGACCCTTCATATTCCAATCATTGAATCAATCCATCTCATCGAGGGTCTTCCTATCCTGTGCTGACCCTTCATTCTCCCAAACATGAGGTCCCTCTCCAAGGAATGTTCCCTCTTTGCAACATGCCCAAAGTATGTCAGATGAAGTTTCCGAATCCTTGCCTCCAAGGAGTATTCCACTTTCACCCTCTCCAGGACAAACCTGTTTGTTCTCCTAGTAGTCCATGGTATCTTCAACACTCTTTTCCAGAACCACAACTTGAAGGCATGATTTCTCTTTCTATCATCCCCTAGTCATTGTCCAACTTTCCAATGCATAGCACACAATTGCAAAGTCTATGGCCTGGATCAGGCACACATTGGTCTCCAGCCTGATGTCATTGCTCTTCAGTATTCTGGAGAAATACCTGACAACTGACTTTCCCATTGCAATGTGTCTCTTCATTTCCTGGCTGCTGGTACCAAAAGTGTTGACTGTGGAGTCAAGCAAACTAAAGCTGTTAACAATCTCTTCACCATCCATCCTGATGCTGCCAATTGGCCCAGTGGTGAGAATCTTTGTTTTCTTGATGTTGAGCTTCAA